TATTCTAAATTGTTAAAAAAATAGATCAGTAGCATATTTATAGTACCAACACAAGTAAATTTGCCTGTATTGGTCTACAATTTAAGGGATAATTAAAACAGTCTGATCCTCGAATCTGTTTGATAATAGCTAGAATATTACTTAACTCATTATTTTAAATATTCTATATATCTGTTATAGTATTTGTAATTTTAATAGTTATTGGTTGCTCAATTGTATTTGTAGGACTTGCAAACTATCATTGAGATATTATTTGTATCTGAAACTTAATGAGTGAGAAGACAACTAAAACAGAAAAGAAGTGCTAGCAAAAAAAGCTTCTAGCAATAAGTAATATACAAGAATATAAATGGATACCATCTTCTAAAACTATAATATAGTGTTCACTATAAGCGGTTAGATTACTAAATAATTTAATTTGCTATATTTTACAAATGTTTTAAGTTCCAACTAATTTAAATATTTCTGAAAGCAAAATACGGCTCTTCTGATAATCTTCCTCAAGAAATCTAGTGGTATATTCTAAGTTATTATTCTAGTTAAATAAAATAGATTAGTAATTATTAATAATTTTGAAGCAATCTCAACTTAATACTTACTTGATTAAACATTGAGCTGTTAATTTGATAAGGGTGGTAAAGGCAAGATTGACTAATTTGAAGTCTTTGACAAGCCAGTGCTTCAGAAGTTAAATATTTTTTTAAAGTTTCATTAACCTTAAAAAAAAAGTACTATGAATTATAGGTAAACCAACAGATAGAAGCTAATTGGATATTCAGATTTATATTGACATTTGGCTTTATTTTTAATTCGTTTTTCAATGCTTTTTACTAATCTTGTAAATATTGTTTAAGCATCAACCTCAGCCTTTAAAATACCATTAATACTCTCAATATGCTAAGTACTATTCATATCAGCACAAAGGTTGTATATATATAAATCAAGACCCATACATGCCAAGATCTGTATAATTGATTCAGATACTGTTCATGTTTAGAAAAATTATTGATTAATTGTTGCTATCTGGTTTTAAAATATTCTTCACATCTACTATTACGTGAACAATCAAATTGCTTAAAAAATTTTTTTTGTTAAT